AGGAACTTCCCAAGCACTATACAGGGATCTGTACCTGGTAATCACCATAGACAGTAATAAGACATCGTAATTTGAACGGCAGTGAAGTTCCTGAATGCATGATTTTCGTAAATAGTGGCCTCATCCCTAATTTGTATTCAAGTTCTAAATTCAAATTATTTCTTAATTGAGAACCACAGAAGTGTGCGGACTCCACACCCCCAACGATACAAAGACTAAAATATTCTTTTCTATGCATTGGAAGTGCAATGTCAACTTCGCGACATCGATACAACTTAAATGCCGTAATCATCTAAATTTTACTACATGACGAGGTCAATCGTCATTCATCGATTGGTCCGTTGGCTAACCAATCATATTTTAACGTTTTTGGATACTTAAATTTAATGATTGGTTAGGCCTTCTCCAACCAATCGCAATCTGGAAAAATTCACTTACTGTACATAAATAGTAACTTAATTGCACCGATAAATGCCCAATCTCTTTACTTAGCTAGTCTTGCCCAGTTAAATCTCTGTCCGATGAATAACCATTACCATGAAGTTACGATATTCACGTATTTTCGACTGATTAGCAAAGGATCATGAGGGTCTATCGCGTTATTATCCTGGCTCAATTACTTGAATATTTACTCTGGTCATTCATTAATTATATTCTCCTATAGTGGTCTTGTTGGACAGTTTATAAAGCGACTTTGGGGCAATTGCGCACTTGACCTGCCTTCTCTGACTCGGAGTGAGGTTTAGCCTAGCAACATTATATCATGGAAGAGTCCGACTAACATTAGCTTGCAAATTAAATGTCGTAAAACTTCTCATTCTGACATTTTAAGCTTTATTTCAATGGATTTGTATTAAGCTGAATCTTTTCACGTTATATAATTGACAATATTATTTAGTATGAAACACTTCAAATTATTCCACACCAAACGCATGGATGACAACAAAACGAGACAAGGTATAGCCAAAGAGTATCTTCATCAACTTGATTTGGCAATCGTGGCAAAATTAATTATTATTACATACCCTGGGTACCGTATTGGTGATAAGTTATGGAAGGAGCATCACGGGGTGTTTAAGTCGAGAATATGATGTTTACAAAGAAGAAAGCTGTCAATTAGTGAATCACTTACTAGCCCTACGGATAGTTGTATATAATTTATTTGTCACACTTGGAAATCTCACTTTAAGTATGGTTAGTTAGGTTAGTCTGGCCAACTCATTGTAGCCAGACCAGAGATCATGATTATGCATTTAGTTAGCGAAATGTTGAACGACACTGACGTAGTCACTCTTTTGGAATGGTAGACGAATTTATTATCCCACCGTCAAGTGTCCAAGGTAATTTAAGGAAATATTAATGAGAGCTCTAGAATTTTTGGGGAATTTGCATGTGAGAAAGAGAGTTGAGGTCAGTGAGGAATCGGCGTGACAGTATTGAAAAATAGTTCAATATTGAAAAGGAGCCCATCATTAATATGTTTTGTACTAAATCTTTATTATTCTGATTTGAAATTTACCATTCTTACAACCATCAATTTAGAAGGAACAAATAGGCAGTATTAGGTACGAATTTCTATTGACCATTCGGGTTAGAACGATTCATGCTAATTTACTTAATCTAATCTTGATCTAAACGTCTTCTGACTCATACTGGACGAAATCCGAGACTTCTTAGAATTTTACATATTTTATTACGAATATGGCACGCTTAAAATTGAGGTCACAAATTGCCTTGGACGAATATTAACTCGCGCGGATTGCACCAAAGTGAAGAGGCTTCGCGAGCCAGCATACTGGAATTTGAAAGCTAACCAAGCTTTTGTCCAAATTGTATCCCTGGAAACGACTTTTAAACTAATGGAATTGATAATTATAGGTTAAGTCAATAATTATCTATTCAAGACGAAAAATATCTTACAAAAAACGAATAATAATTAGTTACTTTGTCTTCACGATTCCGGGGTGTGTGATAGACTTACCTCCACGTGGTGCACCCTAGGTAACGTATACTCTTATGGCAAAAAAGTCTATTAACCGGCAGTTGACTTCTGACTTATAACTATCATAACGCCACTGTATGTCATATTCCAACATTTGAGCAGATCTCGCCTTACCTTTTACTCAACATTTGTGCCTATCTGTCATTTTACATCTGTGAATCATTACTCTGTCCCCCTCCCCTCTCGACTTTTTGTCCCTTTGATGCTCCCCCTCCTCCTCCGTGAAGCCTGAAGTCAGCTAAAGGGCTTATGATAACTATCAAATGCCTGCCATTTGAAATAAATAAATAAATCTTCACGATTCCAAACTTCTCAGGCTTTGCAGTTAAGGTATCTCTAAACCCAAACTTCCAACTAGAATATAAAGTTCCTTCACAATTTTCCTTAGTCATATAGGCTAATTCAAAAAATATATTATTCAAGTCAATCTGACTTACACTGTGTGAAGCTTGAATTCACTTTCGAAAATTTCATTTTTATTGCGGGAGTAACGCAGTTAACCCCGAATGCAAGCCCCTCAGCGAGCGTTGACCTAAGATCGACTATTGCGTTAGGTGAAGATGGTAGGTTTTAAAAAGGTTAACATATGTTGTGGTCATGTGACGCACTTCATAGGGCTGGAATTGGGCGAAAAGGGGAGGTGGGAGTCCTGTCCGGGCTCACAGTCTCCAGTTGCGTTCACTTGAAACGTCTTAACAGACGTCCTCATTCGAGAAAAGGTCATGGATTGGGATTTGATGTCCTGTTTACGTTCTTCAGGTAAATACCCATCTATATTTAACTTCTTAAGGTTAATAGGACTTATCGCATAATGTTCCCCTGCATTTTTCGAACAATCTGAAAAGGTTGGAGGGTGATCTGTAAATCCAAGGCTTTAGCCTTCTTGTGGACTGCTTAAAAAGTATGGACTAATTTAATTGAGTCACATTTGTGTCAGCTAGGACTAATAAAAAATTACTTCCCATATCCACTTGGAAGCCCATTCACTGCACTTGACCTGGAAAGAGGGCGGCCTTCAACCTCTAGAATTTATTCGTACGGTTGGTCATCCGCATCACTGATGTACGTCGATATTTACGATCCTCTGCTTTGTAGACGTGCCACTTGACCAGCACACAGCACGAACTTGAATTACCCTTTCCGCTGAATCGTTTTGAACTCTTGCTAAGCGCATCTTAGGTTCCTATTATCTCGATGATCATGGAATAGACAATAAATTTAAGTGATTCTGTTAATTGATCTGCGAAAGTGGACTTAATTTTCCAATCACGACAATGTTCATCTCACTCGAGACGGGAATAGAAATTGACAAAACATGAATATATTTCGCATTAAGCTAGTGTCGAATGACAATAACAGAGGGTTAAAGTAAGATTTGGTGTGGATAACGGTTAGATTTTGCCTAGTGGATAGCCTCAATTTTTTATTTCTTATTTTTATGATCCTTAAGATCAGAATACTCCGAAAAATGCTGAAAGTTCAGCTCTTATTAATAAAAACTGGCACATCTTAATTTAATCATTAAGATATCGTATCGCAATTCGCGCACCATGGCAACCAAATATATAAATCAACAACATGGGAAGAAACTTAATATTCTAATAAATGTGAATGAAAAATGTTTATTTGGCCTTTTTCTAATAATTACGTCAATACCCGTTCAAGTAAAATTGGTACAACTAGGATTAAAATAATTTAACTCAAAATTACCTTTTATGCAATGAAGATAGGCAGTTGGATATTGATTTACTTACTAAAATCGATTTCGGGAGTCATTACATGAAGTCTCATTACGCAAATACTCGAAATCGCCTCTTATGGAATATGTTCCATGACGCCTTGAATTTGGGCGAATAAAATTGAGTGCTATTAATAGATTTAATTCAAACTCGATAGAGTTTGGTCACCCCTTATTTTGGAGCATCTGAATTCTACAACGTCGACTTCGTTATAAATTACTTTTTGATACCTTTTCCGTCTCCTTCTGATATCCAGTTGTCCAAAATGCAAGTCTATCTTTCATGAACATTCCTATACTTTTTATTGTAAGTTACTGCAATTTGGTTTATAAGTTAATGAGGCTAGAAATCTTTTTCAACGACTTTCAATCGCCTATCAAATTGCTAAAGGGTTCGGCCAATTTTGTTGCTAGAAGTAAATTAATTCTGTTGGTATCTGTGATTAATAGGGCCGAAAAGAGCTCTTCCAGATTACAAGGTATCTAAGTCTTTACAATTAGTCAGTGCACAATAATGTATTTATACAACCCGATAGTATTTCCCAATTTGTGCAACGATACAACTCTATAAAGAAGACAAACACTCTCTTTTTAGTATAATTTAAACCAAGGAGAATTAGACATATTTCAATTTCAAACCCACCTAAATAGCTTGGTAAAATAAGACTTCAGGATCGATACCAATGGCAACAATTCCTAAAAAGCAAGTCAGCATTTTTGGAAAACTCCCGAATGGAAATCACAGGTTATTGGAGCCACAAAACCCTTGATCGTAAAGACGAAAAAATTTAAGTACTTCAAACGTTCCCACTTAACTTTGCTATTGCCCTTGCACCCAGATTAGTTTAACCATTTAAAACTATTGACTGTCGACAGATATAACAAAATTCTGTACTTATAGGACACGGTTGCTGTCTAACTATTGCCTGTCAGTATGACGACATCGAACACTTGGGCCTGGAAGCGAATTTAGCAATAAGACAACTCAGGCATTATTAGTCACTTCTTTCTCATTGGTGTACGCTTACGATTAAACGTGCATAGATAATTCTGATTGGTTATTATAAAACAGACAGAGGGTTCGTTGGTACGCGTACACGAGCCTGTCCGTCTCTCACTTTCTCCATTCGTATCCCCTAAGCCAGCGCTTCTCCTAACCTAAGCGTGCGTCCGTAGGTGAAACCTCAAGGTCATTTTAAGTTTTCGGCAACGTATAAAGCACCACCGGCCGTCTGTAGTCCCCAAAATTCTTGTCTAGCCATGTGGATGGAGGATTGTGTCGATTGCGTTTCTGCGCAGAATAGTTTGCAGGCTTGGATCCGTCATTTGACGGACTTCCATGCACTTCCAACCGAATGGCCCAGTGATAGGGCGCTCCGGTTAACAGGAGTTGCCGCAACGAAACCTTACACTACCATCACCGAATCCAAAAAACGAAGGAGAAAAGACTCAGTTCCTCGGCCGCTCAATAGCTTTATGGTAAGACATTCAAGACCAATATTTTGCTCTTTACCTCAATCTTGCATTCACGTTTTAAAATTTCCATTTTATGTTTATTTCCTTACTTTCTTTGTACTTCAAAGCGTATCAAATTAATATCCTTGTTTGTATCGGGGTAAAATATCTTCCATATCAGTCTCACTTTTTGGTTACACATCTATCGAGTTATTAATTGATAAGAATCTATGCTTCTCTCAATGATTATTTACTATAGTTTACTGAGCCACGATAGGCCTCAGTCGTCAGTTTGAAGGCTTTTGCCAATTTGTCGGATTGCTATAAACATTTTTGGCATTTCTAAATCGTTTCCACAAACCAATCTTCTGTCTTGGGGAACAGGAGCGTTCTAAATTTAGACCATTGCCATCAGACTTTCACTTCAGGAGATTACTATCGACTGCCTCATATTCTAGGTAGAGAAACGAAACGGTGATGAGGGTTTGGGGAGAAAAGAACCTCGAAAAGGACACAGCGGATCATGGTCAGATGGTCTCATTTCTTACCACGCATATATGGTCGGTTAAATGGCTGATAACATTTACGACGTTGTAGGGGAATTTTATCGACACCCCAGGGATGTGGGAAGGAGGGTTTGATTTACCCGCCATAAGACACACGTCACTGTGGCTTTCGTACTGCGCCGCCATGTGGCATAAGTCATAAAGACCCAAAATGGCGACTGGGACACTGAAATCAACAGCCAGGCTCGCTTTAAATTGATACTTTATGCAACTCCAGTCAACCAATCAATTCACGAATACGCGTACATACGCAAACTCACTTCGCACCTATTAGCTACTTGTATACTTACGGCAATGTCAGTTTAGTTTGCGGATATAAACTCTTTTTTCTCAACGTTAAACCTACTTGATCAAGACCATTGAGTAGACAAATTTAGTAGGTATTAACTGCCTAATTGGTTAAAAGATGGTATATAGCATGGCTCAACTAAAAAGGAAGAAGTTTGATGGGTGGATTTTGGGAGAAAAAAAACAACTCGGCTTTAATTTAAGGAGTGAAAATGTCTTTTCTTCTATGGGCGAAGGTAAGGTCCTACCGTTTGATTCCTTTGCAGATTATGGAATAAGTTCTGATGAAAAAGGATGTCGGTAGTAAGGGTTTGAATTACAACGTGGTTGGCTGTTGTCAGTATAACGTAGTTAAGCGTGAGAATCTGTATAAGTATTTTCAAATTGTCAGACCGGTTTCGGTTAGGTTTCAAGGAAAGATAAACATGCTTACTTCAAATTGAAAGCTTCTTATAAAATCAGTTCAACAAATAGTAAACAATTGGGTCTTTCCGATCTTGGTAATTACGTTGAATGAGATTGCGTATAAGCCCTTAATTTTGTGATATCCAAGGTTTTTAATTAATAGATAATCTTATTATCGTTGTAGCTGTTTGCTCAGCACATTCGACGAAACGTTTTGCGAATTCACAATGAAGCATCTAATTCTGTATTAAGTCAACAACTCGGTATTGTTTGGAGGTCTGTTCCGCGAAGTGTCAAGAATCGTTATGACGAGGAGGCTGCAAAGTTAGTTAAAATCCACCAACTCGAGTTCCCTCACTACAAATACCAACCCAAGAAACGTGGAGTGATACTAGATACCGTGGCTAATGGAAATAGTTCATCGGTTACAACTGCAAACAGCACTGAATCGAGTCCAACTACAGTTCAACAAGTTTCTGTCTCCCGAGGTTATTCACCCGAACCCTGGCGTATTCAAGATTCCGCTTACTCTTCCAGGAAAAACAGTTGTACCTCCTCAACGGAATTTCCTTCAACCCCAGTGAAACAGCAACAGCCGCATCAATCTGCAATTCAGCCCTTAAGGAAGATAATTCTTGATGAACATCAGCGGCCACTTGTTCGTCAACGCTACGCGTCGGCTACAAGTCAACGACCGGTGAATGTCATAATTAGACAACCCCGACCAACATCCTGTCTCCTGAATCCTGCGACACGAATCTTGAAACGAGAGCATGAACCCTTTGGAGAGCAGTATCAAACACTATTTTCGAGCATTAACGCCTCTACAATTCCCAAACGAAGATCTACATTCCTGGAGAATGAACATGGTGCGTTCTCCCTCCCTGAGCTATTCAATTCTCAAACCCTCCTTGGTAGTGGAAATCGGGGTGTAGATGACGATGAAGAATTCTCGTATTTTGAGTCAACGACAGAATCTGAGTCCATACTTTCTGAAGAGAACATGCTTTTTGATGATACCTCTTCAATGATGGATTTGGCCGATTTTCTTCCCGGTGCTGAAGAGTTGATTCTTGGAGTGGAACCTTTCGCTTCAGGAACCTTATCTCCGGATCTTGAGATGCTTGACAAGAACGAACTCCTGAAACTGTAGGCGCGACGATTTGACAGTGAAAACTCCTTCTGTTGTCTTTCAGGTTTTGCTGTTTCCCCTGAAACCCGGTCTTCAATCTCCTCAACTTGTTTGCATTTTGGCTATTTTCCATTTTCTTCCCCTCTCAAGCGATGATCTATTGATAGTTTTTGACGACGACAGGGACTGTGACTGGCTGTTATTGAAATATCAATACCATTGTCGCTCCTCGCATTTGCAGACAGTCTTTTACTCTTCATATATCTCTAGCTCTCATTTTTAACATATTATGTCTGTCTTTTTTCGCTCTCTCCATCTGTGTTAATTTTAAATTTTTTACTGCCCAATTTAAATTTGCTTTTTTGAGATGTCTCCTACCTTGTTGAACCTCAAATCTGTTCACTTTAAATTTAAAAAGGCGTATAGGACTGCCCGATTGCCTCAGTTTGGGAATTTTTCCAAAGGAGTTTATAAAGTCAGGGAACGGGTGTAAGTTTTTCGTACGCAAAAGGAGTCCAATCTCGTGGGTAACCAATGTAGTTAAAGGAATAAAATCTTTGGGACCTATTCATGACTGGGAGTTAATTTTAACCGGAAATAGGCTAACAGATGTAAATTGACATCCAGGGTTCAGTTGTGTGCTCACTTTTATTAACCCGTCAAGTTTACCTCAAAAACCTAATTACCCCTTTCCGGTGATATTGCGGTAGCATGGGCCTCAAGTTCGGAACTTGCCGGTGAGAGTTGAAACGAACAAGTGTGGCGGCTGGTTTTGGTATAGATAAGATTCTCAATTTGAGAGCGTTGAATGCTTTCCCTCTTCCCACGATAAATGTGGCAAATTTGTCTTAGTCGTCCCATTGTGCAGGTGGTGCAGCAGTGGTTAACGTGAACGTTTACAAATTCAGAGGTAACGAGATTGATTCTCGCCAGTGTGTACCCAGCGATATGAGTGGTTAGCATGATATTTTCTCTACGCAAACTAAGTGAATGATTTAAATTAGCATAAGATATATATATATATATATATATATATATATATATAGTGCTCTTTTGTATTATATAACATAGGACGCAATGGTCAAGAGTCTCAGGCAAAATGGAATCCTGAGCTTTATTCAAAAAAAGCACTCTTTGAATACAAATATTAGTTTTTTTCTAATTGGTGCTGACTTCCCACCTACTTTCTTTTTCATTTTTATACCCAATGGCATTGCTTCTTTCTGACTCAAAGGTGACAAAATTTAATCGAAACTAAAGGATACATGCACGATAAACAAGTAATGTCGTTTTTATCTTTGTTTACCTGATTGAGAGTAAAATTGAATGAGTGCTAAAAACAAAAAAAACTCTCAGGTGGCTTTAGGGAACTCAAGTCACTCACTGTGGACATGGCAAAGGAGATGCTGACTGTACACACACAGGTGACTGGGTAATTTGTTAGAGGGAGGAGTGACTCAGCCAATACACGTGCGCACTGAAATGATGACGCACCGACTGATTTATCAAGCGCTAATTGGCTAATTAGCAAATCAATGAAAGCTGGAGAAGAAACAGAGGAACTAGTGTAAGTTAGGGAAAGATAGAGGAAATGCCTGAAATCGGCCTTTCTTCTTTTATAAAAGTCAGTTTCTGAAATATTTGATATTATAAGGGACAGCAAGAGTGGGCCTTATAATCTGAACGACAAGGTTGCATATTTTGCAATTGGATACTACAAATAGCCTTCACTTTCGGATCTGAAATATTCTTTCTTTTCCCTCTTCCTCTATATATAATACTGATTGGTAAATATCTTTGAATGATTGTTTCACTCAATCAATAATCGATAATATGGGGTGTGGGATAGACTTACCTCCTCGTGGTGCACCCTGGGCAACGTATAATCATACGGCAAAAAAGTCTATTAACCGGCAGTTGACTTCTCACTTCAAACAACCATCACCCCCCACTGTATGTCATATTCGACCTCTTCCACAGTACTCAATCACCTTTTTCTATACCTTTGTCTGGCTCTTTTACATCTGTGAATCACTCTTCTATTCTCTATCCCGAATTCTTCTCACCTTGATGTTCCTCCTCCCCTCTGTGAAGGACGAAGTCAACTAAAGGGCTAATGATAACTATCAAAACGCCTGCCATTTGATATAAATAAATAAATAATCGATAATATCGAAAAAGTGGCTTCAATATTTGACATTGTTCTTTTATTTTGTTTACTATAACAAAAACGTATGCTAGAACTTGTAAAAATTAATTTTTATAAATAGATCGTTTAGGATAGGTTAGAATTTTGAAATGCATTTAAATAATATTTCAA